ACAAAGGTATTGAGGAGTCAAATTCTTGGGTTTGAACAACGAGCGGGCGAGACACTGCGTCAAACATGGGAAAGGTACAAGAAGATGCTCAGAAACTGTCCTCATCATTGCCAGACGGACGAGGTATTGGGTCATACTTTTGTAGATGGGTTAGATAATGCCTCAAAGATGAGTCTTGATTCCGCTTGTGGGGGTAGTTGCATGGCTAGACCGTACAGTGAAATCCAAATCTTGCTGAATAACTTCACTGCTAATGATAATAACTAGCAAGGTGAGGGTGATTCACGAAAGGCAGTTAAGCAAAAATCAGCCGGGTTACTTGAGTTAGACGAAGTGTCAGCCATGAGAGCCGATATTGCAAAGCTGGCCAATCAGATGACTCGGATGACAATGCAGCAACCACAGACAATGCAGCACGTACAACAGATGTCTATTTGCTGCGAACTCTGTGGTGACAATCATATGAGTGATATGTGCCCAACGAATCCAAAATCCATCTATTATGTGGGGCAACAGAACAGAGGTCCACCGAATCAGCATGCACAATACGGGAATTCTTACAATCCTAATTAGAGGAATCATCCCAACTTCTCATGGGGTGGAAATCAGCAGAATCAGAATCAGCATAGACCCCAAGGGAGTTTCAATCAGCCTCAGAGACTACCCTAACAAATGGAAGAAAGTACCAATGATCTGCTAAAGAAGTTGTTGATTGACAACCAGCAACTCAGGACCGATTTCAGAAATCTTGAAAGGCAAATGGGGCAGTTAGCAACAACTCAAAACACTAGACCTGCATGCGCCCTCCCCAGTGATACAGAAAAGAACCCTTAAGTGAATGCAGTTACACTTAGAAACGGGAGGGAGCTAGAGGAAGTGCCAAAGAAAAAGAAAGACAAGCCTATACCTGAGAGAGAGTTGATCCCTAAAGTGACTCAAGAGCAAAAGAATGTTGCTGAAGTTTCAGAGCCAGTGGAGGCCCCTAGACCACCACCACCTTTTCCCCAGAGATTGCAGAAAAAGAATGATGATCGCATGTTCACAAAATTCCTCTCTATGTTGAGCAAGGTTCAATTTAATATCCTACTCGTTGATGTGCTTCGGGAAATTCCAAAGTATGCTAAATACATAAAAGATATAGTGGCTCACAAGAGAAGATTAACTGACTTTGAGATAGTTGCACTTACTGAGGAGTGCACTTTTAGGGTCCAAAATAAGCTCCCTCAAAAGCTTAAGGATCCTGGCAGCTTTATGATTCCTGTGCGTATTGGTAATGTTGATGTGGGTCGTGCTCTTTGTGATTTGGAGGCAAGAATAAATCTGATGCCCCTGTCTTTGTTCAAACAATTGGTTCTGGGAGCTCCAAGGCCAACTACTGTGATGCAACTGGCTGATAGATCGATAGCACACCCTGAAGGGGTGATTGAAGATGTGTTGCTGCAGATTGGGAAATATATCTTCCCGGTTGATTTCATTTTCCTCGATTATGAGGCTGATGAACTGGTTCCAATCATATTGGGGCAACTCTCTTAGCTACGGGTGATGCAATTATCAAAGTGAGAGAGGGAAAGATGATTTTGCGGGTAGATGACGAGGAAACAGTTTTCAATGTCTACATAGCAATCCAACTTCCCCGCCACTATGAGGAGCTCTCAATGATATCTGTTGTTGAGGCCGATGTGCAGATTCGTTATCCGAGTGTATATCTAGACGATTCTCTCGAGAAAGCACTTATGTTACTTAATAACCTGGGGGCTGATGAGGAGGTTGAAGAGATAATGCACATCCTTGATACATCTTGTGCGTACCTGCAAGGGACGCACCCATTCGAGCCTTTGAATAGACCAGAGGGGCCTCCTCCAAGGCCATCAATTGAGGAAGCCCCAAAATTGGAACTTAAACCCCTTCCACCTCACCTGCAATACACTTATTTGGGTGACTCTAACACTTTACCTGTTATTGTTTCATCTGACTTGTCTAAATTGCAGGAAGAAAAGCTATTGAGAGTGCTACGTGAGCACAAACGAGCACTTGGGTGGACTATGTCCGACATTAAGGGCATTAGTCCAGCTTTCTGCATGCACAAAATCCTCATGGAGGATGGATACAAGCCCAGTGTAGAGAAACAACTTCGACTCAATCCAATTATGAAAGAGGTGGTAAGAAAAGAAGTGATTAAGTGGCTCGATGCAAGTATTGTATTCCCTATCTTAGACATCAAATGGGTAAGCCCCGTTTAATGTGTACCCAAGAAAGGGGGGATGACTGTAGTAGTTAATGAGAATAATGATTTGATACCCACAAGAGCTGTCACCGGGTGGAGAATTTGCATTGATTACAAAAAATTGAACAATGCCACCCGGAATGACCACTTTCTCCTCCCCTTTATTGACCAAATGCTTGATAGATTAGCTGGTCAGGAGTACTATTGCTTCTTAGATGGTTACTCGGGGTATAATCAGATTGCTATAGCCCTAGAGGACCAAGAGAAGACCACTTTTACGTGTCCTTATGGCACGTATGTGTTCAAGCGAATGCCTTTTGGTCTTTGTAATGCACCTGCGACTTTTCAAAGGTGTATGATGGCCATTTTTACTGACATGGTTGAGAGGTTTGTGGAAGTGTTCATGGACGATTTTTCTGTGTTTGGATTCTCTTTTGATAACTGCTTGATGGACCTTGATAAATTACTTGCTAGGTGTGAAGAGACTAACTTGGTGCTAAACTGAGAAAAGTGCCATTTCATGGTACGTGAAGGTATAGTCCTGGGACACAAAGTGTCCAAAGATGGTTTGCAGGTGGACAAGGCAAAGGTGGAAGCAATTGAAAAATTGCCTCTACCGATATCTATCAAAGGCATTCGCAGTTTCTTGGGCCATACAGGTTTTTATCATCGTTTCATTAAAGATTTCTCAAAAATTTCCTCTCCCTTGTGCAGGTTGCTTGAGAAAGATGTCGCCTTCAAATTTGATGATGCATGTCTGAAGGCATTCGAGGAGCTGAAAGAAAGGTTGTTTATTGCACCAATCATAATTGCTCCGGATTGGGAGCAGCCATTCGAGTTGATGTGCGATGCTAGCGACTTAGCTGTTGGTGTTGTCTTGGGGCAAAGGAGAAATAAGATATTCCACTCCATCTACTGTGCGAGCAAAACTCTGAATCCAGGTCAGATGAACTACATCGTCACTGAAAAAGAGTTGCTTGCAGTGGTGTGGGCATTTGACAAGTTCAGGTCATATCTTGTGGGGACCAAAGTCATCGTCTACACAGATCATTCAGCCATCAGGTACTTGTTTGAGAAAAAGGATGCCAAGCCGAGACTAATTTGGTGGGTCCTATTGCTGCAAGAGTTTGATTTAGAGATCTGAGACCGCAAAAGAACAGAGAATCAAGTGGCTGATCACTTGTCCGGATTAGAAAATCAGAACCATGTGGCTGAAAGGGGTGCAATCAAGGAAACATTCCTTGATGAGCAGTTATTGGCAATCACCTCAAGTATAGTCCCATGGTATGCAGATTATGTGAACTTTATTGCAAGTGGGGTGACACCACCAAAATTGACACCAGACAATAGACAAAGGTTCTTGCATGATGTGAGGCTTTACATGTGGGATGAGCCATTCTTATACATGCTATGCGCAGACCAGAGGTGCGAAGATGTGTTCCTGAGGAGGAGATGAGTTCCATACTCCATAGTTGTCATGCCTCGTCATACGGAGGTCATCACGGTGGAGACAGGACCGCCCAAAAAGTGCTACAATCAGGTTTCTATTGGCCGAAATTGTTTAGAGATGCACACACCTTTGTTATAATGTGTGATAGGTGCCAAAGAACAGGGACAATCACTAAGAAGCACGAGATGCCACTGCAAAACATCCTGGTAGTGGAGTTTTTCGATGTTTGAGGAATTGACTTCATGGGGACTTTTCCATACTCAAACGACCATAGATATATCTTGGTAGCAGTTGATTATGTGTCTAAGTGGGTGGAGGCCATTGCTCTGTCCTCTAATGATGGAAAGGTAGTGGTAAGCTTTGTCAAGAAGCATATCTTCACACGCTTTGGAACTCCCAGAGTGTTGATCAGCGATAGAGGTACGCATTTCTGCAACAAACTGTTAAACAATGTCCTTGCAAAGTACGGGGTCAAGCATAAGGTCTCCACTGCTTATCATCCACAGACGAGTGGTCAAGTGGAGGTTTCAAACAGAGAGGTCAAGCAAATTCTCGAGAAAACAGTGAGTGCAAATAGAAAAGATTGGGCCGGAAAGTTAGACGACGCATTGTGGGCGTATCGAACAACATACAAAACTCCCATAGGTGCTTCTCCTTATAGATTGGTGTATGGGAAGGCATTTCACTTGCCCGTCGAACTTAAGCACAAGGCCTATTGGGCAATAAAGAAGCTAAACATGAATAGGGACTTAGCTGGAGAGAAGAGGCTACTGCAACTCGATGAGCTCGAGGAGTTTCGATTACATGCATATGAGAATGCCAAATTGTTTAAAGAAAAGACTAAGAGGTGGCATGACAAGCACATTCAACATCGAGAGTTCGATCCAGGGCAAGAAGTTCTGTTGTTCAATTCGAGGTTGAAGCTTTTTCCCGGAAAGCTTAAATCTCGTTGGTCAGGCCCTTTTGTTGTGGTAAGCGTGAAGCCTCGTGGAGCCGTGGAGTTGAGAGATATGAGTTCCACTGGCACTTTCTTAGTGAACGGTAAATGGATAAAACATTACTGGGGTGGTGACTTTGCACGTCACAAGACCTCATTGGACTTGAAGTATGCTTCAGAAAATGTTGTAACCGTCGTGCCATGACGTTAAATAAGGCGCTGGTTGGGAGGCAACCCAATGATAGTAGTAGTGTTTGATTTTAAGCTTTAACTTACTAACAAATGCAGGCGACGAAGGGCGGGTTAAAGGACAATCAACCAGGAGCAAAACAGGTGACAATAAATGTAAAAAAAATCCCCAGGAGCACGACTTCGCGCCCACTTTGCGCATATGTTCGCGCACTTGGGTGATCCTTTCTGCTTGGAACTTAACGGAACCGCGCGAGCTACAAACTTCACGCACAAGTTCGCGAACCTTTCTGCTTGAACTTAATGGAAGCGCGCGAACAAACGCACGCGATGCAAACTTCGCGCGCATGCTCGCGCTCCTGGGTGACCCTTTCAGCCTGGAACTTTTCAGGCGTTTTGTTTTTCTCTTTAGTTTTAGTTTTTCTTTTTATTCTTGTAGTTTAAATTGACTATTTGTTTAAGAACAACTCCCCCTCCCCCTTCTATTAAACAAAACCCAAAACCCCCTCTCCCAAACCCTCCCAACTTCCAACACCCATCCCCCTATCTCACGAGATTAGCAGCATCTCCCTCTCTCACGATTGTTAACAAGGTATGAACCCTAGTTTTAGTTTTCTTTCTTTTTCTCTTTCTACTTTCAGATTTTAGTTTCATGTTGTATCTTATGCCTTTAATGTAGATGTGTTTTGTGATTTCGTGTTCAAACTTAGTGAAATATATTGTGGGGTTAGTTTGTTGTAAGTGTGGGGTAGGTAGTACTTGATTTGGGTTATGGATGAGCTCTTGTGGGAAGCCCTTATGCAAGACCCTTAGAAAAAAATTGTGAGAGCCTAATGCCCACAAGGTGTTTGTGGAAAGGCCTCAATGAGCATGATTCTGTAGTTGTGACTAATTTTGCGTGTGAAGTCTGAGTAACCGCATCAAGTCACACTATTTTTGTTGGGATGAGCTAATGTGTCCACGTTTTGCAGGTATTATGGCACCATCGAAAAAGCGCCAAGCCACGGGTCCATCCTCAAGCCGCCAAAGGGCAGCTCCGACACATTCCTATGACAACAACAAATTTGTCTCCACTGAGGCTCAGACCCGTTTTACAGAGAAGGCTGCCAAGAAGGCAATTCCAAAGAGGGGCATCAACATCAAAAAATTCAAGGAACAATGCCCCCACATGTATAATGAGTTGATGGAGCGGGGTTTGCAAGCCTTCATTGACGATCCATAAGAGGCTAATGTAATGGTTGTATGCGAATTCTATGCTAATCTACAGAGCATGTCAACCATGTGGTCACAGTGCACCGTAAGGCGGTGGATGCCTCCATTGAGGTGATACGCACGGCTTATCAACCGCCCGACCCTCTGCCTGAGAACACTGACTTTTATGAATATGGGCGAAATCCAACCGATGCCAAGTGGGAGCGCTTCTTTGATGCAATTTGTGCACCAGGACAAATGGTAGAGTGGCTAGAACATGGAGAGAAGTTCCATTAATCTGTCTTAACTCCAGAGGCGAAGAGTTGGCTATATGTGATCAACAGTCGCCTTATTCCCTCCACAAATACTACGGAGGTGAATGGACCCCGGGTTGCGTTGATTTGGTGTTTCATCAAGGGTCTTCCCTTTGACATGGCCAAAGTGATCCATGACAAGATGTTTATCCGATGCCCCCAATGCCAGTATGGCTTCTTTTTCCCATATTTGGTGACTAAGCTTTGCAGGAATGTGCAGGTGCCTGA